TCGACAGAACAAAAGGAAGGACACCCAACCCCCAACAACAGTGACTCCAGTAACAGCACAAGGGATTTCCAGCTTCCCTGATCAGCACACACAAAGTGCTGTACTCCTTCCACTCCAGCAGCACCACATTCTCCCACATCTTTGTGCAACTCACAACCACATAAATATTTTACTAACAAGGAATGCAATCACTTGCATGCCCCTGGTATATAGGCACTACTTCCCTGCCCTAAGTAAGCCTCTTCCCCATGCTATACACCTTGAAGTTTTATCAGCTGAAGTCAGAGGCAAGAATTATGAAAGAACCCTGCCCCACTTTTAGAAACAGAGAATATTCTGTCTTCTATTGAAGCTAACAAGAGAACCAGCAGCATCTAGAGAATCTCTGGGGTACAGTGAGCTCCCCCCAGCTAGAGATTCTTTCCATCCCCCCCTTTGAAGTTGATACAGTTTACACATTATCTTTTAAATAAATAAATATATAAATAAATAAACCAGTTATTCACTTATCATGATTTAACCCATTACCAATGAAAGAACAAGAAATGCAACACCACTCTTACCCCCTCAAAAAAAAGGTGGGACAGGGCAATTAGGTAGCTTATTGGACACACCAATTAAGGGATGAAATGTTCAAGATATTTAAGAGGTATCTGGATGCAGTCCTGTGCAACGTGCTTTAGGATGAGTTTGCTTGAGCACAGAGTTTGGAGCTGATGATCCACTGTGGCTAACCTTTCTAACCCATTCTGTGAATGTGTTAGAATGTGTGATCCTTTCTAACCCATTCTGTGAATCTGTGATTTTTCTCTCAAGATGGCAGACATGGGTCTTTCTCTACAGAGAGATCACAGTATTACTGATCAACCTTAATCTTTAGTTATGATTTCATTCCATGTGCTCTGCAGAGCAGCTTGTTAAAAATAACTGAACTCTGCATTATGCCCTTATCATCTATTAATACCATCTCTCTCATGAAAACGTTTCTTCCCATTGCAATCAGACTGAAAGAGAGATTGACGTGTCTTGCATTCCATTTAGTGTGTATAATCAGTATAGTATTAAATTGATAAATCATTCTATTAAGCACAGAAAAATTCTAGTGTAGATTTTTGAAATATAAATAACTAGTACAGGGAAGAACAATTTTCAAGGAGTTTCAGGTGATACAAATAATGTTTATATGCCTTTAAAAATTAATAAAAATATGTTTGCAAGTGAAAATTGTGGGATCATCCTATGTCTCCTATATCACAACAGACAGAGAAATGGACATATGATACAGGAACACTGTTTTTCCATCTCTCCCTCTTTTAATTCCTGATCTTGAATAAACCATATGAAGGGAGTGTAAAGCCAATGACCACAGAAATACAGTTATAATTATTCAAGGACAACTGATCAAGTAACCAGTTGTTTAAACAGAGATAAAAGATAGTATGAAACCCACTGCAAAACCAAAGTGAAGAAAATGGCAACTGAAGACAAATAACCTGAGACTCTGTTGCAATCTACCACCACAAGAAAACCCAAAAGGCAAAACAGGGATGAGGAAAGCAGGAGGTGGGGAAATTCATACCTAGCTACAAGAATTTAATCACAAATGTAGATCTTGAGAGGAAGAAAAAATAGAACATTAATTAATCAAATGGGTTCATTTTAAATGCACAGTAGCAGGAAAAAAAAACAACTCAGGAAAAGGAAGACATATTATTCAGACACTCAGAAAATTCAGACATAAATATTGTGCAAACGGTAACTATTACAATTCTGAAAACTTTCTTATTCCTACTACTGTCGCCCCAAGAATTAAACCTTCTGATCTTGTTTTCATAGCTTCTAGCCACTTTCCAGGAAAGTAATTATAAACATAGATGTTCGTACATTTCATTAAAGAAATGTCTTTTGATGGATGTTTCTCATGACCAGTGTGATTGGGAAGGTGATAACCTGACTATCCAATACCTGGTCATTGTCAAGAATCTATAAATATTGGAGCCACGGAATAAATCACTCTCTTTTTCCTATCATATATTGAGCTGTGTCCGTGTGAATAATTTTGTGTCCTACAGTGACATACTATCATCTCAGAAGTGTCCATTAACTTTATATTTAGGCCACAAGATACAACAAAAATTAAGATGCGAAACAGGAGACAGGAAGGAAAATGAAGAGTATTGTCCTGCCCTAAAAGATTAAATTATTTCCAACAGAAATAATAATTTCAAATTCTTATCTCTCACAGCGCAAAGTTTAGAAAACATTCAGGAAGCTGGGGTTGTTTAGCCTGGAGAAAAGGAGACTCAGAGGTGACCTTATCATTCTCTAAAGCTTCCTCACAGATGGTTGTAGTCAGGTGGGGTTGGTCTCTTTCTCCAGGCAGCAACTGACAGAAAGAGAGGACACAGTCTAAAGCTGTGTCAAGGGAAATATAGGCTGGATATTAGAAAAAAGTATTTTATTTAAAGAGTGGCAAAGTACTGGAATGGTCTGCCTGGGGAGGTGGTGGAGTCATCATCCCTGGATGTGTTTAAAAAAAGATTGGATGTGTCACTTGGTGCCATGGTTTAGTTGAGGTGTTAGGGCATGGGTTGGACTCGATGATCTTGAAGGTCTCTTCCAATCTAGTCATTCTGTGATTCTGTGTGATTTTCCAGCTGTCATCACTGACAAATCAGAGAGAAACAACACAGAAGAAAACACCACCCACTTCCACACAAACATATTTCAACTGAGTAAATTAAACTGCAACACACACAGTAAGATCTATCCATTCTATGTATGCATTTCAAGATAAAAATCACACATGTGCACTATCATTTATCTGAAAAGAGATCAATCATCACAAAGGATTAGACAGCTAAATTATATTGAAACATAGAACAGATACATGGTGGTATAAGTCTGTAATTCTCAAAGTGTGGATAAGATATATTCATATCTAAAGAAATTACAGAACAAATTTTTAAGAATTTTTTTCTATTTTTGCCTCTTTTCCTTTTTAAAGAAAAGATAAATTATAAGTTTCTTCTCCAAACTTTCATGCCATAAGAGGACAAGAGAACATGATGGTAAACACTGAAGGGGAGTGCACTCCACATTCAGAGAGTCTGATGCATGAGTCAGACAAGGGGCTGACTCTTGCCTGTACCTATCTCTCACTCCTCATGTCCTGCTGTAAATTGCCAGTGTCAAACGAACCAGGGAAAGCTTTTGAATGCCTAAATAAAGATAGGGCAAATAGAGACAGGTCAAAGAGCCGTGTGTCAATTTGAAGCTAAATCTATCTTTCCATGTTCACCATTTATGTTTTGAGTGCAGACCTCCTTTAGCTTTACATAACATGCATCTGTTCAGATCCACAGATCAGATTGGCTTCTGATTGCTAGAGGGCATCCTTGAAGCACTGACAATGCTACTGGTGGCAATTCTTTTGCCAACAACTTTTGAGTGAAACAAAATAAACCTGTTGCCTCAATTGCACTTTGTCAGTGAGTCAGTACAAATCCTCTTGTGATCCCAACTGGTCATTATATGAAGGATAAATCAATGAAACATCTACAGAATTTACTGCCACCAACAGGAGCCCCAGCAACTTCACTGTATAGGATTTGTCCCAGAGAAGATAACTTTCAGTCAGGTTACTAGATTATGAAACCAGGCAACCTTGCCCTTACTTACAGCCTGATAGCAGGTGGGTTACAATTGATTCATTGTGCCCTGAAAAGAGAGAAAACTTATTTCCTCAGCCACCAAAAATTTTCTGAAAATGAATGAGCCCCACAAATTAAATTTTTGAAGTGCAGTGGTCCAAATATTTCTGGCAAAGTCATTTAACTCAAAAGATCAATGTTATTGTAGGTATTCCATTTACAATAACATAATTAGAAACATCATTGGAAAGAGAGACTGGAAATGAAATTAAATAGTATATCTTGATTAAAATAAATGTATAAAGCTGCCTAGATTGAATTTACATATTAAGTATAGTAATCATTCATTTTTTTCCCTAACTGTATTTGCTTTCCAAACTTCTCTCTCCCCTTTTTGCATTCCTGCCATTGTAAAATGGCTTAGATTTTAGAGGTTTCATTGCAGTTACTTAGAAATAAACCTTCTGGACAGATCAGTCTGAGTGGCTTCCTTAAAAAATAAATGAACATAGGTGTTACTGCCTATTCCTCACAGGCTTTTGTGTGTATACTCAAACCTCAGCTCTTTTGGGGACAAAATTATCATTATGTGTAGTTCAAACGTGCAGACAGTCATAAACACAGAATATGACTCACCAGTTAAGTAGAGCAGACATTATACCCTCATAAAAAACTATGAGGAATCACTGGATGATCTTAAGTAATTTGTTTGGGTTTGGGTTTGGAGGGTTTTAGACTGGGGTTTTTTTGTTTCATTTTATTGGAGTTTTTAAAGGAAGGAAAAAATATATAACTGATTTCTTACATTTTACATTAGATTAAAAATGAAACCATTAAGCAGAAAACATAACTCAGGGAGCTGAAAATAAAAAGTTGAATTGTAAACTCACTGCTTTTTTTACAGGTATTGACTTTATTCTCATTTTGATTATGCTTGTGTCTGTGTGTCTGATATAATTTTTAATGGTACTCAAGTTATAGGATTTGCAGAGAAAAGGCTTTATAATTGATATATCTGAAAATTATGATTTATATTGATGTCAGTTAAATATCTGATCTCCAAACACACTCAGATTTCAAAAGTCTAATTTCAGGTTCAGCTTCTACAGGACTGAATTGATGGATCTCTTTGACAGCACCTCAATTCTGTTTTATGAGGCAATGTAAGAAATGAGATAATTTTGATTTCATGTGAGAAGAAAGAAGTTTGACAAAGACTCTTAATGGAACTAGAAAAATATAAATGGTCTGGCATAACTTGCTAAAAATAAACCTAACATTAATAAAAGTGAAAACAATCAGAAGATTCCAACATATAATTTTAATATTTATTAAAATCCTCTGGCAACAACTCTCAACTCTCTTTTTTAAATTTTAGTAATAGCCTGTCTTTACTGAAAGATGTAAGAACTTTTCTAATAGACTGAATGGTTTAACAGTTCTGTTACAAATTAGAAAACATCTGTCTAACCCCTGCTGAATGCTCATCTCTGCCTCACTGACTGGAGATCAAGAGTGAAGCCCTGGTGCTCTGTGTTAAACCTTGAAGTTCAAAGATCTTCTGTGCTTTGCTGGTGTTTCCATAAAAAAAAGACAGGCTGATATTTTCCCTCTTGGTATCTGGTCTGATGGGTGTGATGTCATCACTCTTCAACAGGAGCAGAAAGCTAGTGAAGCAAAAATAAAAGCACTTCTGGGGCTCAGATTTCATCTTTATTTTTTGCTCTCAAAGATCCAAATTTGTCTTTTTCCCTTAACTGACTTGCCTTAACAACTCTGTGGGCTATGATACAAGGTTGTCTTCAAAAATAAACATTAGCTCAGTAAAAATACCTCAACTCCCTTTGACAAGGTCTCCTGTGAAGAATGTCTTGGCATGTTCCTTGGATCTAGAGATGCAGGATCTTTTTCAACACTAAGAGAATAGAAATAAATTATTTTCCAGATAAATTTTAACTAGCTCTCTTAAAAGATGGCAGATGGAGAGCAATACAGCATTTGCAGCAAGCACATTGCTATACTGTTTGCTTTTCTAGTCAGTGAGCCTCCAAAATCTCTCCATTCCAGGAAATGACCTGCACACTAGCCAATTGTAAAAGACTTTTGTGAAGAGAAGACACGGGCATGCATCACCAAAGATCACAGGACCAAGTCTTTGAGTCTTGTAGCTTTGCCATCATTTGCACACTGGAAAACATAGCTTTAACCTAACTCTGATGCTTGAAAATCACCATCTACATTTTCAGACAGCTACACAGCTTCTTTTCATAGCTTGTCTCCTGCTTCTCCTCTGTTGTTTTTTTGTGTTTGTTTTGCTTTAAATGTTCTTCCGTAAATGGAAACATCTTTGATGTCAGACTCTTCAACCTACCAGGCCTTTAAATCTTAAATATCAATAGCACTATTATGTTATTGTGGAACTTTTGTTAAGTGTTACTTAATGCCATCTTTGGGCAGAGTTTCCAGTTCTCTACAACAAAATATCATTGCATATTGTTTGGAACCTGGAAGCATTTTTATCTCTATTGCAGGTAAGTGTCTGTCCGATTGGGAACGGCGATAAAGAACGACAATGGACTCTCAAGGGAGTCACAACACGAGAATTCCTCTAGTTTATTGCTTTAGCCCTGTCTTATAGACAGATACGTGGAAAGTACAGAAAAGAAACTCTTATTGGCTAACAAAGTGCTACATCACCATCATTGGTCAGGGGCACTCTGCCCCCCTGACTCTCTCCTGCAAGGAAAAACAAGAGGACAGACAAACAGCACTTGGCAGTTGTTTTCTGTCTCTGAGGATTGTTTTGAAATCCTCCTTTGAATTCCCAGGCTAGCTTCTCAGGCAGGACTGAGAGGCTATGGGCCTGCATTTTCTGCAGCTCCCTGCAGCCTGTTCCAAAGCTAGCATCCATAGGTAAGATGCTATCATGGTTAAGTATGTTAGACCAAATTGTATCAGCTATTTTAAATTTACCTCCTGCTACAAAGGAGAAGGGGATAAAAGGATGGTCAATGATTTCTGTTATGAAATGAGGCAATTGCTAAGTAAAATGTACGCCTTAACCTTTTATGATTTCTCCTTTTGCCTTTCATTTCTTCCCAACCAACGCCCTCTATCATCGTCTAATTGGAGTTCTGTTTTAAGCTCGATTTTAAAAGGAACCTCAGGAAGGTTCTGAAGGAGTGATGTTTCACAAAAGGGCTGGAGATATCTGTCATTAGAAGAAATGTTTTCAGAGAGCTCCAGTCAGTCTGGTTGGCTTCTCTGGATGAGCACAACTTCACTTCCATGTCAGTACCAATAGAAAAGTCCCATGGGAGCTGAAAGCTTCTGCCCTCCAGGAATTCCTGTTATCTTCTACAGCACTGGGATCATTAGTCCCTTCTGTGTAACCTATAACAGAAAGCCAAAACTAAAGGAGGCAAAAGCTTGTATAACAGAAATCCTTTGAACATGTAAAGCATTTCCCCAGCAGCCTGATGGCAGGACCCTGCTTTGTCGGGCTGTCAGACAGACCAGGAATGTGAGAACAAGGTCTGCTCCAGGGGTAAAGAGTACTGAGAGGCAGTAGTCAGAGCTGGCACCAAGACTTCATGCTGATGTGGGATGAAATAAGCAAGAGTCCAGGTCAGACCTATCCAACATGCTAATGAGCCCAAGGCCTTTCCTTGAAGTAAGTCAGAGTTTCAAGGCATCCACACTGTTACTGAGTAGCACAGACTGTCTTATGCTGCTGATTAATGTTTCACTTGAAGGCACCAGAATGTTTCAACTTTGTACCGTGCCTCACTAAGCACCTGAAAGGTGATTAAGCAACGTTGGCACACAGTCTGTCTTATTAAGCACATTGGCACACCCAGAACTTGATTGTTCCCTTCAATTGCTATTTCTCTCAATACTTTGTTGCTTCTGGGTGTGCGATATACAACAACATGACTTCATAAAGGGTCACTGTTTGTCGTATGAACATCATAAACCACATATGCTCATAAGAGAAAACATAGAAGTGAAATGTTTTTTTTTAAACTTCATCATTTCTTGCAACTTCCTTACCTGACAGCTACTGTTACTTTATAAGGGAGTCAGATGGCAGATAGAAACTTACAGTTATTTTATTTGTGATGGCAATAGGCTGCAGTCCTTTCCACATTACTTTGTCATTCTCAATTCACATTGCCATTTCTCAAACAGTAGATATTTTATCATACAACAAATCCATCCAATGACATATAGCTAGAGCACCCAGGCAAGCTGATGCTCTACCAGCTCAGTTTTTCAGAGGAAAACTGTGGGTGAGATCTTGAAAAGATATCATGATAACAGTGCCCCAAGTTGTCCCTTTAAGAGTTAAAATAAAGACACCACCAAGCATTCAACCCTTGGAAATCTTATAATGTTCAGGAGTCTGCAATGACAGCCTTCCTCAGTGCAAGTACTCTTACCCTAATTTTGTGACCTCAATAGATTGTTTCTGCCTTCATATTGAAAGGAAAAAAAAGGGAAAAATAATGGGGGAAAAAAAGAAGATCTAGGCTGCTTGTTCGTTAAAAGGCAACTTTGGTCTGCTTTGTGAAACTTCTGACCGGCTGACTTTATCACCAGGATTTTTTTTCTGTAAATTTAAAGTAGATGTAATGCATATGTATGTATATGTAATGTATATGTAATGTAATGTATATGTAGCATTAGGTCTTGGTCTTTACCAGGCATTTTGCAAATGCTATTTAAAAATAAATATGAGCTTTGGAATGATAACACAATTAACATTAAATTGCTGAGTTTTCTTGGTCTACTTTATACAAGATTGATAATTTTAACTTTTTATACTTAGGTTGCTGAGATAGAGAAAACTACTTTTTATTGTAATGGGCAGTCCATATGGTTCATTTAACTTGCATCTCCAATACTGAATTACACACCTGCTTTTTAGCTAAACCTAAAAACTTGGCAATCCTTTCAAGTGTGTTTCTCAAGAAAAAAAGTATTATTGTTCAAATACTTCAAGGTGGAGTTGGAATCCTTTCAGCCTTTCTGCTCTTTTCAGCAATCAGCACTGACTTCAGATTGAGAGGCTCAGGTGCCTATTCAAGTTTTGCTGCCTTGAATACTATCTCTGTGCACAGTTCTCTGATGTGGCAGTATAAGCTCCAGAACACAAATTCCTGTTCAACAAGCTGGGAGGCTGGTTGAGGAAGGAGAAGCAGACTGAGGAATCACCCTGAGCTGGTGCTCAGAACACCTTGTGCAGAAGCAGTCCCCAAAGCTCCTTGGAGGGTCCAGGGGTCCCTACTGCAAGTGAGCACTACAGCTTTGCTTTGGAGGTTGCAATTTCTCAGGATTAAGTCCCAGAGTAATTCTAAGCATCAGGAAGCAAGAAAGAGACTTTCATTTTAAAAAGGTGGGGCACATATTCTAACATTTATGAATTATTAGCTGAGTAGTGAAACATCATAAAGAACATAATGCTGTATTGTTAAATTGTCTTTACTGCTGCTGATAAACACAGTCTAAGAACCCTTGTAATTTTCTTCAGTAAAAGAGATCCAGAGCAATAAAAAAACCTGCTTATTTTGAATGGCAAACCCACATTTTAGTGAGATTAAAGTACAGACCTGAAAATGTTGTGTCCCTGGTTTTGAGTCCCATGGAGAGTTAAAATACCTTCCAATTGCATCTGAAACCAGTGAGACATGAAATAGTTTTTGGCTTTCATTCATTCAATTTTCTTTCAATACATCAATTTCTCTAAGGTCCCCAAACATCAGTTACCACAATTACACTTTCCACTTAGAAATCTTACTTTTGGTGAATTTAAGAGTTCTGGTGGTGACATCAGATGTTGCTGCACTGTTGCTGCCAAAAAATAGTTTTTGTCCAAACAGGCTGCCAAATATCCAGAAAACCCAAGAAAATGGCTATTATAGATGTTTTTAAAAAAATTTATATAGTACACAAAAGAATCCAGCTTTCTTTGTCTAATCTCATTCATGTACAGCTGATCCATGAATATTCTAGATGAATCAGTAATTTCTAATACACCTGCGCTACAGGTAATCTCAGCATATTCACATAGCACAGATATATATGTTTGTGTCTGAGAAACCTTTCCCACAGCTCCGTTTCCCAGCCTAAAACTCTGTTTTTGCCCTGACTAGGAAAAAAAACTTTCAGAGAATTTGAGACAAAACCAACTAAAAGAAAAGTTAAAACTCCGGACATGAAAATATTTATTTCCTAAGGTGCACCTCTATTGCTTGACACTCTATTGTTTTAATGTTTTGAATACATACATATTTTGTGATGCTGCTGAGATCAGTATGATCCCAGTTTATATCAAATATCTCTTGATATTCTCAAACGTACTCTTTTCCATTCTATTTTATTTCATGCTCCTTCAAGGACTGAATACACAGGTGCAGAACATTTATTTCAGATTTCAGGTAGATTTTCCTTCTTCAGGGTGCAGAGAGCAGATTTTGAAAGCACTAAATTTTCATCTCTCAGATGCAGCCATTTCCAATTATAGCAATTCTGAAGAAGTTCAGCAGTGGAGCAATGTTTAAGCCTCATGAATTTCTATTTGAAGTCTCCTAACATCTCCAGGAAGAAAACCAGCTCTATGGCATTAACTAAAAAGGAAATAATACGGAGTATTCTCTTAGAACTAAAGAGGGTTGCCCAAAATTTCTACAAAACAACCCTTTTTCAAGCAGGTACAGTATGACCACTCTTACAGTAAGTTTTCTGACAGTTTTGAAAGAGAAGCAATTTAGATAACTCACTCCCCCTTTTATTTTTATTAATAAAACTGGACATCTGCTATCAAAGAAACCATCAAAACTACATTAAAAGGTTTTCACATGCAAACAGGTTTTGAATGTTGAACATCACCAAAAATTCCAGCAGTGACAGTACAGTAAAAAACATCTATGTAAAAAGAACAGAAAATATTAACAGCTGTTACAAGGACAAGAATTTAGGAATAGACTATCACAATTGGCCAAGGACCTGAATTTAGTGTTTGACAAGATAGAAGCTTAAATGAGTATTAAATTTAAGGCATAGATTATTTTGATAATTTTCCTTTCTGTATTTACCCAGTTTTTAGAAATGTGGAAGGGTGTGCAGGCATGCAAAGTGTTTTAAAACATTATATTAATAATATTACCTTTATTTGACATGACAATTTCTTTTCTCCCTTGAACTTTCAAGTGACAATGAGATTTAGTTCTAATTTCTATACCAAATAAGCCATTACTATTTTTAGCACAGAGGTCAGAGTCACAGATTTAATTTGGGCTAACATAATTACATTGGGCTGCTCACTTATCGCAGTGCTTATGGGAGTCCAAGTTTACCACCATACCCAGGTTAGAAGAAAATAGATATTAATTTGTAAGACATCTGACAGCAACCGATAAGCAACCAGTCTTGCTAATGACTCTCAGTAATCAATTTCCATTTTAATCAGATTTACTGTCTTGGAAGATTGACACATTAATTACTAAGTTGTCAAAAAATTTATGTCATCCCCTCCTGAAGAGCTCTCATGAAGTCATGTCACATCCCACCCACTCAATCACAGCGCTGGAAGCTGATCCATGACCATCAATGTCACCTCCTGACTGCACCTTGTGATGCTGTCACAGCTCATCCCTGATGACAAAACTACAGCCCCCTGTAATACCAAGATACTACCCATGAGAAAACAAATCCAAGAGCTACTGTGTCCACATGAGGCACGGTCCCCAATCATGGATGCTTCTACTTCCTCCAGAGCTTCTTTTGTTGACAGGCTGATAGAACAGCTCACTTTCTTAACGGCCTCCAGGTGGTACCCCACACATGAGTTATTAATGTCACAATACTTTGCAAATGTTGGATGTTTATGATGCAGACATTAAAGTTGTCATCCTACTGCACTGGAAAGAGAGTGCACAGACAGAAATATTTTCAAACAGCATGGATTTCCTTATTGCACCTATCATGCAAGTTTACTCTTATGCTCCAGAGAATATATTTTCTCTAAATTAGAATTTTCGATAAACACTTTGAAATCCTTCCTGAGTTGTGAAACTCCTATCACAGCTTCTGCCGGAGGCTCAAAACTCATTTCTTCTTTATTCAAATCTAAGCAGTGATAACGAAACAGACTTACCATTTTTAAAAGGGGTTTAACACCTCAGCAGGCTCACAAAAAAGCTACTTAATTTCATCTTAATTAAATATAGTGTGCAAGCTTTGAAATATAGGCCTTGATTCAGGATTCAGAATTCCTCCTAAGACCAAAAGAAGGCAGCAGCTCATCCTCCTCTTCCAGGGCTCCACAGCAGCAACTGTAGCACTGAATAATGCACTGTTCTTGCATTTGAGATGGTTTCTCACTCAGAAGGGAAGCAGGTGGCAGGTGAAAGAAAAGGGAAAAAACTGATGCATTATTGAGTCCTTAAATCTACATATTCTCTCAAGTAACACAGCTATTTACCAAATTAATCAAAAAAGTAGTAAATAACAGTAGCATGAGGAAAATCAGCTTGCAATTACTATATAAAATTTTGTAGGTTTTATGCTGAATTGCTCAGAACTTGAGAAAAATATGGTGTTATGACATGAGATGCTTGAAACTGAAGCTAAATAAAGCTCAAATTACACTGGCAGGAGGTAAAAAGTTCAAAGTGCACATTAAGGAATCCTGACGCAGATTCCTTCACCTGTAATAAATTATCCAAATCAAATTTTTAAGCATAGGTCCTTCTTGATTGTACTGATTTGAAGGCTGGCTACAGAGGCAACTTTGAGCCCCATACATTCACTTCCAGATATGATGAGAATTTTCCCAATTTGTAAATAATTGCACAAATATTTACAGTTAAGCTCAACCTCAAGTTAAGTTGTTTATCAATAGGTGCAGTTATTAAAATGAAAAGAAAATTTTTAAAAAAGAAATCAAAGTTGTTCATAGCATTCATTCCAATTTTCCAATCATTCATTTTCAGACATTGCAGAAAGAGTTGCTTTCCTGAAGTACTAAGGCTCAAAATCTCAGTCCTAAACATCACCTGCACCAACAAGAGGACCTTAGGCATGGGGTCACATCCTGTACATAACAGAGATTCCTTGTTTAAAAATACATATAGAACTTTCAGAAAAAAAGTTGTAGTTTTTTGGTCAACACAGCCTTGAATTTCTAACAAATACAAATGCAGTTTCCCAAGTTACTAGAAACATTTAATTACAGCTACAGTGCTGAGGAACTTGTACTCTGAGGAATATACAGATGATGTACAGATGTCCTACTGAGCCCAGATTTTGCTCCATTTTGTTCTTATAAACATTCACATGGTGTTATCTGTATAATTGAATTTAGATGAGTATGATTATGATATTATGAAAGTTAAGATAACAGTCATCAGTCTTCAGGTCTAGTCTACAGTAAATTGTTGTATCACTTAAAATTAAAAACTGTGAATTGATGCAATAATTATAAGACTTTATTTATGCAAAGTCTGTTAGAACCTACTGATTGCTACATACAGTAAATCTATAACACCTCAAAACTACTGTTACAATTGGACTTTCAAAAAGTCATAGTCATAATACTATTCAAATAAAAATGACATGAAAGCAAATTAATACTAAACAAAATGTAAAAAAAAAAATCTGAGATCACCATGGCAACTTCCATGACATTAAGCATGAATTATGTAACAAAATAATTAACTACTAGTTTCGTTCTGGCAATTCAACATATTTAGAACTGTGACCATATTCTTTCCCCACAATATTTCAATGAAGATTACGTTTAGAAGATAATTTTATAGTCTCTAATTTCTGAGAGTCAAATGGAATTAATAGGAAAAAAAGTACAACTGGATCATTGTAAAATAATTTTAGGCTACATACTAGCAGATTTGTAATGTCTAATTCTGGAAAAAAGATCAAACTAAACAGACTCTTCTCTCCCTATCATCCCTCAGGTCTGAGGATCATTATTCCCCTTGAAGTTCTTCCTGGAATTGTGGGAAGTGGCGGATGCACCATATCTTACTGATTTTTCTACATGCCCTTCTGACTTTATGAAAAATGCTTCATGCATTGCTGACACCACAAGTGGACACAGAATATAAGAGATTAAGAAAATACCAGAGATTTTTTCTCCCTGTTCTGCCTGAAGTTCTCCAGTGAACCCGCTCAGTCTCTTTGATTCCTGTGTCCCATTGGAAACTAATGAGAATTAAGTCTCTTCTAGTGTAAGCTTTCTTCTGACTACAGGATAGAAGCTTCTACCCATGGACAATGTCTAATACTGGAGGTTTTCTAACTGAGGTTGGACATGCAACCTCATACCCAGCTGCAGTAGGACATATTCTGTTTTCCCAGATCTCCATGTTACTAATTGATATTTTCTTTTTCACTAATTTCATTCCTCCAATGCCAAAATTTCCCCAATCTTTGTAGCCACTTATATAAAAGGTAAAAGACTCAGCTTGCTCTTCATCTATTAAGTCCTCAAGTGTTTTAATATTCTAAGCTTAAGATAAATGGTTTATGCCCATGAATTTACAACTTTTACAGAAATTCTCTTCCCATTGTACAATTTATGACTGGTACTTCCTTTATGTAATTACATAAAACAGAGTAACTCCAGCTGTCCCATTATTTTTCCAAAGTTTACATTAGACTAACAGTCCTTTCATCTAGTTTTAAAGTATTTACATTCAAGCCTAATATTTGCTTAGTATTTCACAGACTCTTGAAAATCGCTATTAATGAACGGGATTTTTCCTTTTTTCATCCCTTCTACAACTTCTGAAATGAATTCAAGAAGGGGATTGCTGATTAAAGGGAGTTCCCATTAATTTTTTTCTGCAGTTCTTAAATCCTAGACTTA